CTTCTTTATTAATATCTATTCTATTCTTCTTCATATTAATTAAATATTGTAGTTGTTTATTTTTTGTTTTATTAATAATATAATCATCATTATATTATTTATTTCTCTTTATTATTTTAATTCTATTGTAATTCTTGTTATTTATTAATTATTTTAATTTATTTGTTCTTCTTCTTAGATTATTAATTTTATCATTTCGATATTTTTAAAATTATTTTATTGATATTTAGAAATACAATATGTTATTTTATATATTTCTTTTTTGATATCTTCTATATTTTCACATTCATACTTCCATTCTTCATTCATATATTTAATTATTTCATCATATGTTTTTTAAAATAATAATTAATATATGTTATTTTATTTCTTTTTATTTATTTTCTTGTATTATTTTTTATTATTATTTATTTCATCTTTTATGTTGTTTATTATTATTTATTTTTGTTTATTTAATTGATTTGAAATATAATTATTCATTATATTTATTATTATTTATATTATCTTTTTCTTGTTTCTTTCATCTATTCATCTTCTCTTTTATTCATTTCTATATATTCTTCTTTATTTATCTTTATTCTTCTTTCTTTTATTATCTCTTTAATTTCTATAATATCTAATTTTCATTTTAATATTTATTATATTTAATCAATAACAATAATAACTTTTTATCTTATTTTCATCTAGTTCTGTTTGATCATTTGTTCTTTTTTCATTATTTCTTCTATATTGACATTCTCTCCTTTCTTTTATTTCTCTTTTATATTCTATCTGATTTTGTTCTCTCTCATATCTTTCTATTATTTCTTATTCTTGTATTATTTCTTGTACTGTTTCTTCTTTTCTTCAATTTCAATATGTATTTCTTCTTGTCCTTCTTCTATCTTACTTCGTTTCTCTTTCATTACATTCTATTTATTCAAATCTCTTCTCCGTTCTTGGATTATTTCTTGTTTTCTTTTGTTTCTCCTTCATTGTCTTTCTTGTAATATATTTTATTTCTATTTCTTTTACTTTGTTTATTCTTATAATAATATTGATTAAACCTTTCACCTGAATTATGGTATTTGTGATTATAATAATTACTTTTCTTTTTATTATAAATATGATTATTTGTGAATGTACTATGATATTTATAAATATGATAATTATTATTAAAGTAATTATGGCTATTATTTTGTTGATAATGATTATAGTTATAATATTGATAATATCTTCTAAATCTATTTGTTTGTATATAATTATTTCTATATTATTTTCATGACATTCTTGAGTTGTAGAAATAGAATAATAATAAGAGAAATAAAATAAATGAAGTAAACATTAATTCAAATAATAATATAGAGTTAACACAACTTCTATTGTATAAACAAATTCTTAAACCAAATTCTAAACATTAGAATAATTAAAAAAAATCATTTTAAAATACGACAAAGATTCAAATACTACATCGAAATTAATTTTCATTTTTTATTTACTTGGAATGAAATAGAATATGATTCAATTCTTTATGTTCTTATTTTTTCTTTGAGAAAATTTTAAAAATTTAAAGAAAGAAAAACTGAGATTGTATTTTTGAGGTATCTTCTAAATGCAATTGGAACAATTATTTCTTAAAATTGTCTTCAAATATTTACCAATTAAAGAGATTAAGTGTGTTACAATTATCAATCATAAATGCACACAAATTATAGAACAAACCCTTGAATTGTACAATGTTGATGACTATAAATTTGTTGCAAATCATTTCACACAAATTAAAATGTTATACATTCCATTTCACCAAATATTTAATTTCCCCTATGATTTATTTAATGAAAAGTTACTTATATCATTCACTTGCCCAACACTTTCTGGATTTCATTATAAACAATCTAAAACAAAAGAAAAAAATTTGATAACAAACCATTCATCTCAAATTATTCAACTTATTATTACAAATCATCAGTTAGTATTATCACTGACACACTTCACTAACTTAAAAAAGTTAATAATCTTTTCTCAACAAATTCAAGTTAAAGACATTTCACTAATTTCTTCAGCAGTTCAAACTATTCCATCAATAGAACTTGTAGTTATTAAAAATTTAGAAAATGTAGGTGTTATGAAATTTCATAACTTTGTTAATCTTAACCCTTATAAACCTATGAATAGCGTTAAATTCTCAAATGAATTAATATTGTCTTTAAAAGAAATGTGTAAAAAGTGCCGAGTAGTAATAGAAATTGATACAATTAACAATGTTAAAGAATTTTGTAATGCGTACCAATTATTGCTCAATGAAAAAAACTTTATATGTTTTGTTCATAAATATATTGAATTAACTCAAGACCCAATACCATCAAATATTCTTATAGACTTTAGTCCATTTAAAGTTTATGTAGATGAGCTGTCTAATTCAAGTCTTAACACTATTAAAAGTTTTATTAAAAATGGTTCAATTACATCGTTAGCATTAAAAACACTTTATCAACTACCAAACCCAATTAACCAATTTAACCCATTTTACAATCAACCAAACGCAATAGCAATGTACGATTATCTAATCCCTCAAGTACTTCCAATGGTAAATGCCCCTCAAATTCACACTCAAATACCACACATAATTGATTTGAGCGATTGTGATTCACTTTCTTCAATAAACATTGAATTCAGGTTCTCAAAGTTAACAAAAATTAATGTACCGTCTTCTCTTACCCATATATCTATATCATCACTTGACTATGTTGTATCAAACATATTTGAACAACCTCTTATTTATTTGTCAATTCTTCATTCATTATTTTATTCAACAGTCAAACTTCCACTTACACTAGAAACTATAGAACTAACAAATTGTAAGTCATTAGAACAACTTGACTTATCTCAACACAACAATTTAAAATTTCTTTCTTTACATAACATTCCTTTACTCAGTAAAATTATTATCCCCCAACGACTTCATTCGTTTGTCCTTTCAAATGTTTCGTCACAACTTAAATCTAAGTTTGAGATTGATGGGCTGAAAGAGTCACAAATAAAAAAATGTAAGTTAGAAAGAATGTCAAATCTTTTTAATATAGAAATGCCTGAATCTTTATTTGAATTATCAGTCACGTCATGCATTAATTTAAATATTACAAATTTATTTGACCTTTCACTTCCTCGTAAAACAATGTTATTATTGAAAGAATATTCAAATTAAGTCATTATTTAAATAAAATTTTTCTTATTTTTTAAATTTTTATAAAAATTATTAATTAAAAAATAAATAATGTTTTTAATTAAATTATTAATTCCAATATTTTTTGACAATTTCAATAAGATGTTCACAGAATCTAAATGAAGGGAATCCTACGACATTCCAATAACATCCATCAATTCTTGAAATAAAAGTGGGTCCGGCATTATCTTGAATACCATAAGCACCAGCTTTGTCATAACAATAGCCACATTCTATATATTTATTAATAAAAGCATCGGTCATGTGACAAAATTGTACTTTAGTATGTTCGTCAAAAATTTGAGTCAATGGTTTTCCATCAATTTGAATTTTTGGATAAACAAGACAAACAACAGAAATAACTTCATGAGTATTTCCACTTAATTTATGAAGAATCTAAGAGGTATTAGAAAAACATTGTTTTCAATAATTTATACCCTTTTAAATAAAAAGGATATCTAAAGATTATAAAAAAATCTTATTATCATCTGAAAATGATAATAAGATTATTTTATGATCTTACAATCATTTTAAAATTAGAATAATAACAAACTCTCGATGCATCTTCTGCATTTTTTGGTTTCTCAAGAATTTCATTATTAAATAATACAACAGTGTCACACCCAATAATCAAATCAGCATCTGGATATCTAGAAGCAACATCCATTGTTTTTCCTTCTGCATTTGCTTTGACATAATCAACAGGTCCTTTAAATAATTTTTTATCTAAATTTTCTTCAAATTTGCTTGCATGGATTTCAAATTTTAATCCCATTTGTTCTAAAATGATCTTTCTTCTTGGTGATTGACTAGCAAGAATAATTTTTTTAGAGTTGATGGTACCTAAATATTCTAACAACATTCACTTTTGATAAATATCTTTTGTCTTTATTTGTTTTAAATATTGTTAATAAACCCTAATCTTTTTTCATAAAATTATTCTCAGCTCATTGAATCATCATTTTTATTTTTGCTGACATTTGAAATACTTCTTTCTTGTTTTGTCTTCTTTATTTCTTCTTATTTTCTCTTTTTCATACTTGAATTAAATAGACTCTAATTCAGTCGATATGTTTTTTTTTGAAAAGAAAGGTCAAATACAATAAATGATGCAAAATGTGTTTTATTGATGTCATGTTTATTTTATTTTACAAATGAATGAGTTTTTTATTTAAAAAAATAGTTTAGGGAAGCAATAAATTAGTAATTTATCGAGCACTTAATAAAATAAATAAAAAGAGGATAATTTTTAATGAATCACTTAAAGAAGAACATTACTTTGCTTTAAAAAATCAAACATTTCTTTTGATTTTCCTAATACAAATGCGTGTTTAATTGTAGTTTCTATAACACGGACATCAGGATACCTTTCTTTAAATTCATTACGAATCCATAAAGGAGTGTATTTATCAAATTGGCCAAAGACAACAGTAGTTTTATTTGAAGTTTTTAAAAGACATTCTTGAGTTTGTTTATCATGATCAGTAATAATCTCTTCTTCATCTAAAGTAAAATATGCAACTTGAGCTATGTGATGAGGATTTAAATCTTGTTGCATCATTTTTGCTTGGTGAGGAGGAGTAGTTGAAACGATTTGAATAAAAAGAGTAAAAATGAAGAGAGGTAGTAACTTAAGTAAATATGTTGTCATTGAAATTAATGGGTAAATAAGTGTAATTCTTGCAAGGAGTCTAACAGTTAAATCTATTGAGTGTTTAAGATCTCTAATAGCAGGGAATAAATGAATAATTTGATCAACTCGGCACTCTAACTCTGGTCGTTGAGGTAAAGTATGAAGAGCAACAAATGCTCCAAGAGAATGAGTTAATAATAAGAAGTGTGTTGTTGGTGGTAATTCTCGTAATACCCAATCAATTAAATTTAATTTAACTTTTATTACTTCAAAAAGAGATGTTTTCCATGATGGAAAAACATTGTTCATTGGAGTAGAGTGTAATGAAACAACAAGAATACTATCTTCAGGATATTTTTCATGTAACATCTCACAAAAATCAATATAAAATGCTAACAATGAAGGGTTTCCTGTAAAAAATAATATACAACGAGGAGCAGATAAATAGTTATTAGATTGAATACATGTTTGTCCACAAATGTTTGTGTAATGAAGAAATGGATGATTCTCTAATTTAAATTCCATTTAGAATTTAAATTAATTAATAAAGTTCTTTTGTTTTTCAAATAGAAATAATTAATTAAAATGACTTCTTATTATTGTTATTTAAAATTATTGAATAAAAACATTTGAATAAAAAATTTATTAAAGTTTTTTTTTAGTTAATCCAACTGTTAAAGTATTTTTTAATTTATTGATTGTTTGTTTGAAAGTACAACAATTCCCAATTGGATTTACCTTGTGCAGATTAAATCTTTAGTAATATTGAATATTAAACTAACTTACTTTCTAAAGCATACTTTTTTATTTAAATAACATAAATAATTTTTTTCATTATCTTCTACGATTAAAAAATTGTTATTTTCCTCTTATAAAAAGTAAAAATAGAAATTTAAAAATAGAAAAAAATAAATAGGTAAATTTAATGAAAGAGAGAGTAAAAAGGTTATGTAAAAATGATCTAAAAATACAACAAAGATTAAAAATACAACAAGTAAAAAAAGAATAAGAAGGGAGAAATAGTAAAAAATATAGTAAAGTAAATTAAAAAAAGAACTAAGGAAAAACTGTGAGAACTTTAATTCAAACAAGAAATGGCTGAGATCAAGGTAATAGTTATTGGTGATACTAACGTTGGTAAAACATGTTTATTATTAACATATACGACCAATTCATTCCCAGACACATATGTACCAACAGTATTTGATAATTATACAGCTCCAATTTCAGTAGATAAAAAAACTGTTCAAATGAATCTTTGGGATACTTCTGGATCTGATGACCTTGATGAAATGAGACCACTCAGTTATGCTGATACTGATTGTTTCATGATTTGTTTTTCAATTGCTGATGAAGACTCATTTGAAAGAATTAAAACTAAATGGGTACCAGAAATTAGAGATAACTGTGGTAAGGATGACCCTAAGATTATTATTGTAGGCACTAAATCTGATGTTAGAAATAATCCAAATGCTATTGACGTCTTGAAGAAACAAGGAAAGGATTTAGTTAAAAAAGAATCTATTGAAGTTATGGCAAAAGAAGTAGGAGCACAAGCATTTTGTGAGTGTTCTGCTATTACTCAAGTTTGTTTTTTTTGTATTTTTAGTGTTACCTTTCAATGGTGGTTCTACTAGTATTATTTGTTCTATATTTCTCAATGAGTATTTATATTTATATTATTTGTCTTTTCTTATAAAAGTGATATACTAATCTTATAGAGTGGATTAAAAGAAATCTTTGAATTAGCTGCAAAGGTCTCAATGGGTTTGTTAGATGCTGTTGTCTCTGAAGCTCCACAAGCTAAAGAAAAGAAAAAAGGAATGTTTTCTAAAATATTCGGTAAAAAGGATAAGAAAGAAAAGAAAGATAAAAAATAAGTACTATATTGACTCGTTGTTGCTTCCTTTTGATTCGTTATTTCTTTTTATCATTTGATGATTTATTTGTGTTTTTCGTTTTCAGTCATATAATCGTATTTTATTTTTGTTTTTAAAAGGAAAATTCTTCAAGTAATGAAAGAGAAAAAACCCTATTTATTATAATATATAATAAAATAAATTATATTTTATTAATAATATATAAACATTTAATAAAAAAAAAAGAAAAAACATAAAACGCAATAAAAGTTAAAAAGAAAAACACAAAAATAAATATCCAATAAAAAATAAGAGGTAGAAGTGAAATAATAAAATTAAAAGTAAAATTATAGTAAAAGATTAATAAAAAAGATAATGAAAAGAAGATATAATTAAAGTGTTGTGGAGGATGACCAACACATCAAAGGACATTGTTCAACAGCTATTATTCAATGAGTCTAGATCTACTTCTGCACCTCCTCAAATGGATAGAACTGGAAGTTCTGGAGAAGTAATTAGTTTAGAAGATTTAGAAAAACAAGCGTATAGAGCTCATCCTGAATATCACCAGTATTATTTCCAACAAAAACCTGCTGATCCGAGATTACCAAAACCATTGTTTGCCTGGAACCTTCCAAAAGGATATGAAACTGTTTTAAAGAAAGCATTTAAAACAACACCATTTAATTTAGATAAAATATTAGAGGGTTTGTCAGGTCCTAATCTTCGAAATGAATTAGGAGTTGAAAATGAAGAGAGTTATGAAGAAGAAGATGATGAAAGTGAAGAAGATAGTGATGAAGACAATACAAATGAAAGTTCTGAAGAAGGGGAAGATAGTGATGAAGATAGTGAAGATACAGAAGAAAGTTCTGAAGAAGGAGAAGAGGATAGTGAAAGTTATGAAGAAGAAGAAGAGAGTCAAATGAATAGATATTCACGTTATCAACAACCATATCAACCTAATTACCAGTACAATGGAAATAACTATCCAATAAACTTTGGATACATTTATCCAATAAATGAAAATGTTGCTCTTGATTATGTTTCAATGAGTAAAGAACATAACGGAAGTAGAACAGTTCAACAAAGTATTGAAAAAGGAAATGAAACTGAACGACAAAAAATATGGAGAGCACTTCAAGATCATATTGTAGAGTTATCATCTGATTTATTTGCTAATTATGTGATACAAAAAGCACTAGAATTTATTCCAGAATCACGTCATATTGTTCCACAAAAAATGAAAGGGAATGTATTAAGACTTACATTACATATGTATGGATGTCGTGTTGTTCAAAAGGCTGTTGAATATGCATCAGTAAAAGATAGAAGATTATTGTTTGAAGAATTAAGGAAATCCTTAGTAAGATGTATTGAAGATCAAAATGGAAATCATGTTATTCAAAAATGTGTTGAAAAAGGAGATCGTCAAATGGTTATGGATATTGTTAACGCACTTCAAGGAATTGTTTTAGAATGTTGTAAACATCCATATGGATGTAGAGTTGTTCAACGAGTAATAGAAAGTGTTGATTATGATTGTGTAACTGAATTATTACAAGTCATTGAACCACATTCACTTGATTTAACTGAAGATCAATATGGAAATTATGTTGTTCAAAATGTACTTGAACGAGGATATCCAAATGATCGTCATAATATCTTACAACAAATTAAAGGAAATATTGTTCGTTTGTCTATGGGAAAATATTCATCAAATGTTATTGAAAAATGTTTTAAATTTGCTACACCAAATGAACGTCAACAAATTTTAGAAGAAATTTACCAAAATAATGGAATTTTACAAATGATGCAAGACCAATTCGCTAATTATGTTGTTCAAAAAATTATTGAAGCAATTGATAGTTTAGAACGTGAAAAGATAGTAGAATTATTCATCAAACCCAATTTAAGCATTTTAAAGAAAGTTACTTATACCAAACATATCTTAAACTTGTTAGAAACTCTTGATGACACTCATTTATGAAATTTATGTTTTTGCTACTTTGTTTTTTTGTTATTTTATTATTTTTCTATAATATATAGTTTTTTTATAAAAATATATTAATTAAAAAGAAAAAGAATTAAATTAAAGAATATGTTCATTTGTTGGTTCATTTAATGAATGTGATGAAGACTTATATGAACGATATAGAGGCATGAGAATTAGAATAAACAAAATAATTAGACCAATAAAATAACCAATTGGATTAATTGTTTCTGGAAACATAGAATGTAATAACAAAGATAAAAAATTAAAATAAAAATTATAGTTCAATAGTAAATTTACTATATTTAATTAATTTTGTGATGATGTAAAGATAGATCTATAAATCTCATCATCATCTTGGTTATTTACATTAACTTTTGCTTGATCAGCAATTGTATTAGCAATTGGTTGAGTTACTAATGCAATTTTATTTTCTTCCTTTTGAATGGACTTTGTTTTATTTTGTTTTTGATCAAAAAGTTTACAATGAAGTTCCATTTGTTTTTCCATCTCTTCCAGAGGAGGGTTTAATAGAATAAATTCTAATCTTCTGTTTCACATAATGGGCATTTGTGTCCATTAATTGATTTAATTTCATCAAGAGCCAATTTAGAGATAACACAACCACATTTTAAGAGCTACAATTGGTGCCATTACTCCGTTCGATATTTAATTCAATAAAACCTTTTTTATTATGAATATATCTTAATTCTTCAGGCATTTTGTTGTTGATTATAGTTTTTAATAAATATGTTATTTAAGAATACGATAGTTTTGTTATATGACTATTATATATATTATTTTACTTTTGTTTTGTTGACAATAAATTTATACTTATTCATTGAAGTAAAATAACTACATAGAAATTAATTACTATTTATAAATTAATGAATTGATTAGTTAATTAAATAAAGTAAATTTCTTTATACAATAAAGTTAGAAAATAGATTGAATAAATGTTCCAATGAAACTAGATTTAAAACATCAAAATGATTACCATCTTTTTTATAAATACTTTACATTCTGTCTAAGAAAAAATAGACTTTTTATAAAATATTATTTTAAAATCTATAGGAAAATAAATATAATTTAGTAGCAAAACTTTATTATTGTAAAAAGATTTACATTTATTTATCTTAAAGTATTTTATAGTCTGTTATGTTCAAATTCATAGTGTAACCAATATTAATAAAAACAATAGAAATGAATAGAATAAAAACAAATAAAGTTATAAATATGGAATAATGTTCTTAATATAATAATTTAGGTAAAAAATAATGAATAGTTAATAACTTATTGTCAGGAAAGTTTACCAAGATGAATAAAAGAGATATAAGTTAATTATTTGGAGTTATTAATTATAATAACAAATAAATAATAAAATTAAATAATTAAAATAACAAGAAACAGATAAAACATAATCTAATTCAATTATTTTAATACTCCTTTAAATGATAAAATTATTATTTGTTGTATTATCTTAGAAATATCATAGTTATACAAAATCTAAATAATTATATTTACACTAACAAAATTATTATTAAAATAAAATAATTGTATTATCATAAATATTAGATAAAATAAACAAAATGTGAAAGGTTTTTAATAATTAACAATTTTAAATAACAGTACAACTTAATATAAAATAGAATTGGAGAGAAAAAAAGATATAAAAATTATAATAATTAAATAGTTAAGTAAAAATAAATAAGATACCAAAACAATAATTAGACTGTTACATGTTATAGTGTTTATTGAATAAAACATTAAACGGTTATAATAATTTATATCAAAGAAGTATTTAACATTTGCTTTTGTTGAAAACTACTATGCGACGGTTTCTCCAAAACTAATAATCTTAAAAAAAAACAATATAAATTCTTTTCTTTATAATATTCAATGATACTAATTAATAAAACACAAATAATTGGGAGTTGTGGACTCTTGGCCAAGTTAAAATTCTTTTGGTAATTGAGTCATAATGGTCATCAATTAAAGAGTTTTATGAGTTAAACCTATTGAGAACACAATAATAGAATGAGGCTGTGTTAAAAAACTTTCAATTACATCCCCATTGATTGGTCTCCTTGGAAAGATGAAATAAAACTATTAGCAAATTCTCCTGACATATCGGAAGAACCAAGTTGTAATCCAGTTTGTTGAATTTGTTGTTGTCCTTGTTGTAAGACTTGTGGGGGTTGAGGTTGAGTTAAAATTTGTTGTTGAGGTTGAGTTAAGATTTGTTGTTGGGGTTGTTGTTGGATGACCTGTTGTTGAGCTGAGACTTGGAAATACCTTCTAATGAATTTATTGAATCTATCGATTTGGTCTATATTTATTAATAAAACTCACTATAAATTTACTATATTTTAAGAAAATCAAACAAACCGTTTAAATTCACACGAATTTCATAAGCTGTAAAGTAGTCTTTGTTTTGAGAAATAAGAGCTTGTAATACAACAGTGGTAGCATCTTTTGAAATACCTTTTTTTTCTAGTTCGAAAATAATTTGTTGATATGTGTAATAATATTGTAAATATTGCTCAATAAGATTTTTAATATAAACCATATCTATTTGTTGTGGTGCTTGTTGTGGATTAAGAACAGATGGTTGTTGTTCATAAAATTGTCCATTTGGTTGAGTTGACATTGGATTAGGGACTTGTTGAAATATTTGTTGATTTTGGTATTGAGGGTATTGTTGATACTGTTGTTGGTATTGATTGTCCATCGTTTGAGGTGATGTGTTCATTGGTTGATTTGAATTATTGTTCATAGTGTTTAAATTGATTGTATTTTGAGTGTTAGTTTTTTAGTTCTTTTTAGTATTTGTTATTATCTTTTTACTATTTTAATTGTTTGTATCTTTTTTCTTTTTTCCTTTTTTTTTAAACAAAACATTTTTTGAAATACTTCTTTATTTAATATATTTTTGCTATTCTTATTCTTTTTATTACAATAATGCATATTATTTATCCAACATTTCACACTTTTTTATCCTATTTCTTTCAGTTATTAAATTATATTGAATTTGAAATAAAAACGATACTTATAAAATGAGGTAAATTAAGTGTAATAATTTTTGTTATAATTATTAGTATCATTTTCTTTTGAGACATAATTGTACTTATATAAAACACTAAAATATTGAAGTAAAAATGTGTGTTTTT